ATTCTATATTTAGATTATGATGTCATCATTTTTGATGACGTCAACCTCTGGGGTATTGTGACGTCACTGTATCCGTGTGTCCTGGTCGCCGAACTCTCTGTTGTATACTACTCTAATCTGTTTTGCTTAACATTGGATGTTATGCCTAGTCAACTCCCAATCATGATTGCACGCTTATAGTTTGCGATATTTTTCCAGTCAGTAACCGTAACACTTTTCCTTAACATTTTAAGTTGAGTAATAAATCTCTTGTTAACGAAGCTAATTGCTCAGTGAGGACCATACTAGGAATGTTGGCCATCGGCCTATTTTGAACGGACCTGCCTCCCATTTTAGATTACGGTAACAATTTTTTAAGTTGTATCCGTTTTACATATGTTATTTTATCTTAATTTGCTCTTTATCATAACTATTATTTACGATAGTTCGACGTTGTATACAGTTACACATCTCATCACCTAGCTTATCGCTACACGACACTTTTACTAGTTAAATATCACTGTAACTGCCATTGTACGCATCTAGCTCTGCTACAGCTAGTTGAAATACTGGGTAAGGATTTTTGCCCATTTGCCATACATGTAGAACCCAGATCCTCGCAAAAGAAAAATTATTATATAAACACCAATACCAGGTGTTTAAAATACCAGGTGATCTTTTGCATGGAAACATGATATCTTCACATGTGAAAATAATATGCTACCTTCACACGTGAAAAGATCATTGTTGCTATGGTTACATGATAAATCACACCTTTCGCAGCGAAAGTTAAATAGTTTGCTATTTCATTGGTGTTGATATAATTAATAGAACGTCACGTTGCTGCTTGGAAATACAAAATTTCTCTTTTCGTGTTGAAAAATATTTCACTTGTTCGCAACGCTCACTCTTGAAACATTTTTCAACACTCAAAGAGAAATTTCTTATCTCCGTGCGGCCATGCAATACCCTCTATATCTAGGTCGGCCTAAAGTCCATATCCCCTCCCCTCCCATGTTACATGTAGTTTTTCTCTCCCACTAATCTTTGCAAGTCTAGTTTCCGCCGCTGCCTGGTTAGCTCAATTGGGAGAGCGTCTGACTGCTGTGCGGGAGGTCGAAGGTTCGAGCCCCAGACCGGACCAACACTCAGGGTCTTAAAATAACTGA